GAGCCAGACAACAGTCGGCAGCAGCTCGCAACGGCAGCCAACTAGGCAATCATGAGTGGCAGGAAGGCAGCTTGAGCCGGAAGCTGGCTGCAAAGTTCCAATAAAATGCACACACATATACACGATCACATATATATGTACACATACTTAGATTATGCAATGCATACACGTAGGGTAAGACGCATTGCACTCAGCGCATATGACGTTGATTTCTCCAATGGAAATCTATAATTCACACTTGCACGCTCTACTTGCAGTTCGTATATATATGCTTGCATATATTTATACATACATACATATGTGTCAATGTGTGCACAATACATACATACATATATGCTAGATTTCCACTTTGCCTGCCTGTAGCTGTTGCCTCTGTGTTATGCTTGCAATTACCCGCATTCAAATGCATTTCCGACGCTTTTTCCTGCCCTCTCTGCGGTGGATTCGCAGGATACTGGGGAAAGCACAAATGTAACTGACAACCTATGCTGGTTAGAAGTTTTTTGGTGTGAGCTAAGGTCGCACCTTCTACTCCACCAACTTCTCGACTAAGTGTAGACCAATGATTAAAGAGAGTAAAAGCCCGCTGCTGACAACACTCAATTGGCATAATCGTTTGTCATATTGTCATGGAGGAATGTGTATGTGCGTGTGGGTGTGTGTGTGTGTATGTGTTGCTCTTTTGTCGAATGCAAATCGTTCGTATGAGCGTAGAAAGTAAAGATGAAAATATGCTTACATTGAGCTTGCAAAATGGGCAAAGACAAGTCATAACTTGGTATGAGAATAAAAAAAATAAATAAAAATAAAAAACTATGAAACATATTGAAAAGAAATATTCAAATTATATCTAAAACAGAACACATTTAAGGAAGTCCAAGTGAATAACTCCTATATATGCTATAAAATAATATCGTTTATTTCGATTACGATGTGTCTTGGTATATTATAAGGATCCACATTTGTTTGAGAAAGTATCTGGGCACGCTAAATGGGAGAAGAATCTTGAATAAAATTTACAAATAATATTAAGAACAAATAAAATGTGGCTGCTAACTTTAAACTTTTATAACGATCCCAACGGTTCCGAAAAAAAGGAAAATTAGAATTTAACCAAAAATATAAACTACAATAATAGAAATATGTAGTCTTTAGAAATTTTCAAATATTATCTATATAAAAAAAGTCGTCTTTTTCCATGATAAAATCACTACCACTTATTGTCAGAAAATAGACGACAGATGTGAAACCTTTCCAATGAAAAGGTAATAACTTCCAAGATCGGACGCAAGCTGCAGGCCGAGTCATCTTTTGAGAACTTTTGAAATATGAAACTAATCAAAACATTTATTATGAAAAAATATATTTAATTGAGTTGTCACCTGTGTGAAATGAAAGAGTAACTAAAATCATTTAAGGTCGTTAGTTTGTAAAAGCATTTTTTGAGGTTAGTTAATATTTTTAAACTTACAAAAAAATTGAATTATATTTATCATTTTACAAATAATAGTTTTTTTATAGAGCTGCGAAATTTTAAAATTTTTTTTTTGCTACGGCTAAAAAAAAGTTATGTTTACGATCCCCATATTCTGAAAATTTTGATTTAATTATTTCCGTAAGAAAAATTATACGTATGCATACCAATAGACGATCGCCACGGCAGTCATTCGGAAGGCTCGGTTTCAAATCCTGTTGTTGTACTAACATCAACATACATAACAACAAAAAAACTTAAGTTAAATTTTCTAATTGTGGTCGCCCCTCGGCAGGTTCCTCAATTTGTTGGAAAAACATCAAGACGCAAAACCCCAACCTGGAGGAGGAGCTCGGCCGAAAAATCGCTTCAGCGGTTACAAAGGAGCCAATTACATATATATATCATCGTAGCCAGCTAACTTCGTCTCGTTCCAATTTAAAGCTTTAAATGCACTCAAGAGTGATAATAAAACGTGTTTCATTTGAATTAAACCGAAATTAATAGACAGCTCAGAGATTTCAAAGCAATGACCTTCATTACAATAAATATACAATAAGCAGGGATTATGCGAACCTGTGCGATATGGGTTCGTTCCCTTTAACTATCTTATGTTCTTTTTGATTGTGGTTATCACGGATATTCTGTCTAATTACTATCCGACCTGTAAATTGTCTTTGGTCTGCTTACTTTTCTTCATCTGAATTCGTACGGAAAATTTTAAGCGATCTGACAGAGCACAGCCTTGAAGGTATCGAGGTACAGAGCACGTCCGGATATTGTCTTCCACAGTTACCAGCAGAATTAGACTACACAATCTCCATTTACTGTTTTGAGAGTTCCTTCTCCACAAGAATCCCGAACAAGAATGAGGGAGAAAACAGAAATGCTTTCGCTAAGATTGACAAGGCCATTTTCACGGATGAATTTAATGACTCAATGAAAGTGTCAGCTATGGAAGTCATCAATAAACGCTGTCAAAAAACTTCAATTTGTCGCTGTCAGATTACCGGAGCATCTTCCAAATATAATTTGTTGCAGTTACGGAAGTTGCAGAGTTGTTGCTGGGGCCTCTGGCTAAAAACCCATCAAACAGCTTATATTTGGATAGCCAAGAAGAGATCTTAAGGCAGGTCAATATATTTATACCACATCAAAAGTTACATGTAAATGCCAAAACACTTTCAACAAGGATTCAGCTATTTGCTTGGGTGCTCGGACATATGCACATCCAGACAATTATATGGCGATTGAGCTAGGGAGAGAAGGTACCGCTTTAACTATTTACAATAAATTCCACGTACGTACAACGCAGGCATACCGTATCTAGGATACACCATTCAACAAAAGAACTTGCAATGTGACTAGACAGCTTTGGTATGTGGTGGGCGTTAAAAGCTCAATAAGCCTTATCCTTCTAGACTAGGTCACCATAAATGAAACAACTGCATTTTCTAACTACACACTTTTGAATTGAACCTCCCGTCATGAGAATGAGAGATTTATCGCATCATTTTTGCCAAAGCTGTAGAGACAAATAAGAGGAAGAGTCTGTCAAGCACAACCTCTTTCACTATGCAGCGAAATGCTTCTTACATCTGGGAAGGTGAAAAGCACACCACAGCAGCAGCTTAATGGTCTTTCGGACCTAAATGCGCATTCTAATCAGCAAAAGCATCCACTCAACTCATTTCAATTTCTCAGTTGAACCCATCGAATATACTTAAATAACGTAGTGAATCATACCTTTTTCTTGGTTAAAGGAAAAGTTTTATTTTTATCTCGTTAATTGCTCAAGCAGCCCGAATTATAAAAACTATTATACAAATAGCTAAATTGCAGATCTACTTTCAGAAAATAATTGAGTTTCAGGTAAATCGAAAGAGCAATAAAATTTTTTGGAGAAGCTGCATGTTCTTCCAACTTCTTGATAATATGTCCGAAGCCATTCATGCTTGTATGTAAATAAAGGGCAGGAAGGTTTCCGCAATATTTTTGGCCGATAAACATAGCTCATGACTACACTCGTATTACGAGACAGTTAAAATTAAGTTGGCGGCTGCTATAATTGAGTATATAGCGTTGTTTATGGCCATCTGAAGACCAGGATTTGTTCAAAAGTCAAAATAAAAGAAATTCTTTTTTCTAATTGCGATCGAAGGAAAAATCACGTTCCCTGACAGTTTTTCTGACAAAAAAATCAATCGGTCGTACGCAGGACGATCAATTATCTGTTTACTGTATAAACAAAAATTACTTAGGTTATTTAAAACCCAAATAAAATTATTTTACGAAGGATTTTTTATTTCATTTTTTCTTTTTTGGCATTCCCCAACTTTATATTGAAAAAAAAAATATTTTCAATAGCTGTTCAAGAAACGATAACTACACATAGTTTTTGTTTCTTACTCTTTCCTATTTGTTAATTTACTCATTAAATAACATAAATACGAAGTGTGACAATTGAATAATTAGACTGATTTCATAAAAGCAGTTTATTTCTAAATTATTCCACCACTCTGCCATCCCCTTCAAAGTAGTCCCCTTGGGCAGCTATACAACGATTCTAGTGCGTTTCCCATAAACGCTTAAACACTTTGACTGGGATGTCCGTAAGTACCCTCGCCACGGCCGCATGGATGTCCTCAATCGACTCAAAATGGGTCCCTTTGACCACCGATTTTGTTCTATGGAACAAAAAGGTCATACAATGACATATCGAGCCAATAATGCGATGCGAGGTCAAATACTGGTATACGTTGAGGGCGGTGTGGCACGGCGCGTTGACGTGATGAAGGATCCAATTACGAGCGATATCTGGGCGCATCCTGTTGACTCGTTTTCGCAATCTTTCGAATACTTGGTAGACTTCATTTATGGTTTGTCTCGGTGGAAGAAATTCTATGTGAACGCTTCCACGGCTATCAAAAAAGACAATAATCATCGTTTTCACCTTCGACTTGCTCTTGCGAGTTTTCTCAGGGCGGAGGGCTTGCAGAGACAACTATGGGGTTTGTTTCCGGATCGTATGTAAAAAACCAGCTCTCATTTACATATTTAACGTAAGTTTCCGAAACGGGAAACGAGAACGAGAAGGATGCCGGGAGAAGCAAGGTCGCATGGTTACCGCGTATACTTTTTTTTATTGCAAATTCTTTTTTTTTTTGTTTTATACTTTGGTTGGTCATAAAATAAATTTAATGCGAGGCTTCAGTCATGACAAACTGGTGTGAACGAGCCCAGAATCTTGAAACCACAGAAAAAACCTCTTTAAAACCCTATTAAACGAGCCTTTTATTAAACTATAACCCTGCATCTGAAGTCAATGGAGAGCTTCCAGGTGAAAGCTGCATCAGCAACCTTTAAATTATTAACTTGTGGATACAATAACTTCGTTGGAGCTGGTCATCTATTGAACGAAGTATTTGCATAATGTTGTGAAAGCTTAGCGACGAAGCTAGTATTGCAACGTGCACCAACCTATCTCGGTATACTTATAAGTAGCATTAGTCTTTAAAGTACTCACTTTGATGATGATCCCTCCCCGCGCTGTGATCCTGTGAGTTCCATAAGCTCGACGTGGCTCCAATATATACATTATTCAATGCGGATGATGGCGTATCTGCAGCATTCGATTTTGTGCGATGAACTTTCTTGCTGAAACGTTGATCTGCGTTTTTTTTTTCATTATTGTTGTTGTCCATGCAATATTTCGTCCGGAGTTGTTGATGACATATTTAGGTAAACAAATAAAGTGAAAAAAATAAATAAATAAAATGAATATTAGTTATAAATTTAATCGATTGCCACAAGGTCATAAACATTTCCACATATATATTTATTTATATATGTATGATATGTATTTATATATGTATACAGTTATAAAAACGCTGTGTCTCTCCTACTGAAACTATCCATATTTATCTCTTAGCACTTCTCATGCACTTTACCCCGTTTAAGTGTCATTTAAGTGATCCCAGAGTACGAAAAATATGAAAAAATATAAGAAAAATAGTAACAGCAATACCAACGACGATTGCAACAACATAAGTGAGTAAAAAGCATTGCAATGGAATAATAAATAAGACGAGTGATGCATTAAGTTGTTGAGGGGATTGTTCAGGTAAGTTAAGGACATGCCGTGAAAGGATGGATGTTAAGTGATGCGTAAGGAATTTTACTCTTTACAATACTATGCTCTACACAGTGGAGCTGTGTGTACGCTGTATACATCCAAACACATACACACACACACATTTATTTATGTATTGTTGTGAGGAGGAGAGCATGCGAGGAGACTGGAAAAATCAGCAGTAAACTCAAATGTAAAAGAGCAAATACATAGCATATTTAAGTAAATGTCTATATGCAAAAGAGGATATGTTTGTTAGTGAGTGAGCGAGTGTGTATGTGCTTCTGTGTGTGTGTATGTGTGTGCGTGTTGTATCGAGTGTTGCATAAATACGCACCTTTGTTGTTATATTTCGCAATCACTACCGGCACCGTATTGAGTGCCACAGTTGGTGCTATTGTGGTCACCGTCGTTGTTTGCGGAATGTCTGCAATGAAACAAGAGTAAAGAGCAGAAGAGAGATAGTGTAGAGTAAGGTAGTGCAGAAAATATGAAATAAAGGGGATTAAGCAAATTTAAGTGGAGATTACGTGATGGTCCTTTTTTTTGGCATTTAACTGAGGAAATTTGAATAAACGTATTTAAGTTATTTATATTTTTTTTAGAGCAATGAATGTGGTTAGAAAAGGTGTTTAAAGATAAATTAACTTTATGTTTGAAATTAAAATGTTTTTTTTTTGTAATTAAAACAAATTATTTTTAGGCAAAAATATGGAAAAATTGTTGGTTTTAATTTGAAATGATTGGATTGAAAAAAAAAGTGTTTAAGTTCGCATATTCCTCCTCACAACATTTTGAAATATGTTAGTGTAAAGTAGTAAACTGAACAGCTTAACCAATTTGAAACTTAACTTTATATAATTAGATCTATGTATACACGAGTTATATTAATTACTAATTTATGTAAACGTTTTTAACATGAAAAACAGTTATATCGTATATCGGTCACCACAACACGTGCAAGATGAGATAGAAACTGAGAACTTAAGAGGGAAGCAAGACGCATCTGCAGACAAAAAAAAAAATTAACTGGCCGAGATCCCTGAGTATGAAGAGAGTATGAAGCCGGCCGAAAAGAGTAATGCTCGAAAAATTCTATGAGAAGACTAAAGTCCAACAAAAAGTCAGACGTGGTAAGTCAACCATCTACTATGCGGCAAATCAGAGAAAATACCCGTGAAAAGAAGATCAACACACACCACCTCATCGTCGATTTTAACGCCGCTTCGATAGCACGAATAGGAGCTGCCTTTACGCCGCTATGTCTGAATTTTGTATCCCCTACTCTGAGCAGACAGGGTGACTCTTTGCCATGCGATTTCTTCAATTTGATGCTGGAGAGAAAAATAAGTACTGCAGAGCTGAATAGAGAATGTACAATCTTTTACAAGAGTGTACAACTGCTAGCGTATCCCAATGATATTGATATTATCGGCCTCAAAAACCGCACTATTAGTTCTTCTTTTTCCAGGCTTGATAAAGAAGCGAGGCGAATGGGTCTGGTAGTGATTGAAGACAAGACGAAATATCTCCTGTCATCAAACAAACAGTCATCGCATTCGCGACTGGGCTCCCAAGCCACTGTTGACAGTCAAAAGTTTTGAAGTCGTGGATAATTTCGTCTATCTAGGAACCAATATTAACACCAATAATAATGTCAACCTTGAAATTCAACGCAGGATCCGTCTTGCCAAAAGGTGCCACTTCGGACTGAGTAGGCAATTGAAAAGTTAAGTCCTCTCCCGACGAACGAAGACAAACTCTAGAAGTCCCTCATCGTTCCCGTCCTGTTTTATAATGCGGAAGCATGGACGATGACAACATCTGATGAGTCGGTGTTAGGAGATTCGAGAGAAAGGTTTTGCATAAGATTAACGGTCCTTTGCGCATTGGGAACGGCGAATACCGCAGACGATGGAACGATGAGCTGTATGAGTTATACGGTGACATTGATATAGTTCAGCGAATCAAGAAATAGCGGCTACGCTGTCTAGATCATGTGATCAGGATGGATAAGAATACTCCAAATTTGAAGATGCAGTACCCGCCAGTGGAAACAGAGGAAGAGAAAGGCCTTCACTCCGTTGAAAGACCAGGCAGAGAAGGACCTGGGTGTACTTGGTATTTGCAATAGGCGCCAAACAACAAAAAGAAGAAACGAATGGCGCAATGTCGTTAAATCGGCTAAAATCGTATATGCGGTGTCTACTGCAGTAAAGTAAGATCAATCTCTTCCACAGTTTTCTTCATATAACATATTTAGAGCGTTTATATATTCAGCCTCTCAAGGGATATAAAAGTTCTTAATACATTAATATAGACTAATATAAATTTTTTTCTTTTGATTTTAGTTTTATGGAACTGTCTCTGACCATATTTGGGAATATGTGGAAAAATAACAACAACATTTTCGGACGGTAGAGGTGATAGCTGCGATTCCAGAAACCACCACCTTTCCTCATCCGACTTTTTTTCAGACAACTCAGTTCGAATTGGATTCGATCTTGGGACGCCCATAGCACGAGCCAATGGTTATCCCAATAAGTGTACTGCCTTCTTATTGTTTTTCTCACTTTTTTCCTTTTTACCTACATTTCAATGATCAAGGGCTTAGATATTCTATAGCTGAAAAACTTGGCGCGATGTACTTGACTTTTTCGAAGAATTTACCAACAAATATTTTAAAACAACGCCTTTTCTATTATTGGACAATTTTATTTGCATGGGAAGGCTCTTTCGCTTTTTCTTATTTTTTTTTCATTCAAAGATTTTGAAGTCAACAAATTCAAAAACAGTTTAAAAGCTATTTTTTATTAAGCTACAGGCCTTAGGAAAATTCTATCAATTTATGATCAGTTTCATCATCGGTGTGCGCCAGCAGCTGTACACTTTTATAGAAGATTTAACCTTCTGTGTTCACCTCTGCAGCTTGTATTATTTTCTCCAGCAATAAGTTCAAACCTCGTTGGTATCGAACGGTTCGGAGAGGTCTACACAGGCATATACATTTTGCGGGGATTCCAGATTCAGATATAGCGGCGTAAAGACAGCTAATGAGCTGTCGAAAGTGGCACGGTCATTGACGCAGCTCACCTAAATTCCAATCATCATGCATAGGGCATTCTTTCGTCCGATAATGCATCTTGTAAGCACTTTAGCATCATGTTTGAATAGATTAGCCTGCAGACCGTCAGCTCCAACGGCTTATCGTTCTTTAGGCGGACAATCGCTCTTCGATCCTCAACAATGCCATGCTTTTCTTTCTTTTTCATCGTCTATTTTGTGTTCAACATCTCCGGGTGTTTCATTTTTGCTGTCATTTAGCAGGCTGAAGAAGTGTTCCCTCCATAAATTCATTATAATCTGGGCATCGGTGGCTAGATCATCTCTTTGTGTCCTACAAGGGTCTGCTCCAGTCTTGAAACCTTCCGTAAGTCATCATATCGCTTCATAGAATTTTCGAGGATTATCCTTCTCAGTCTACTCTTACTCACGCATCTCGGCCTCGTTTTGTTTTTGTCTGCAGATGCATCTTGTTTCTTTCTTAGTATCTAAGAGATCCCACACATGTAGTATTAGATCACAAAATTTATTTCTCTTTAGAGAAAATAAACTTTATTTTACACGTTGAAAAATGAAGAAATTTTTTTCAGTAAACAAAAACACGTTTTTTTAATCTATTTCGGAAGAAAGGGAAACCCAATTAATACAAAGATTTGCCTGCCAAAATAAGAACTCCTGTCATTGCACACCATAACTTGGACGAGTAATTCTAGTATAGATTTTTCATGTACTCCACTAATGGAATGACAATTAAATTTAATATTTATTTTATACACACATGTATGTATGTACATACATATGTTACTAAGCGCCTGCCATATTTAATTAGCTACACATTTATGAGTAGTTTATCATTAAAATTTCAATTCCACATTTCACAGAAAACTTTAATGCTTCATCTCTCTAATTAAATAAATTCCACTTAAAAGATTTGAGTGCAAAAATTTCCTAATTAGTGAAATTCCTTTTGGCCACACATTCATTTGGGAGATGCAAGAGAGTAGAAGATATGAACTGACTACGTACATACATTCATACACATACATATATAAAATATGTAAATAGATTCAATTATTGAAACCGAAATCTTTAGATTTAATTTCCAGCAACCAGCTCAATAATTAACACATGCTTTCAATTCACAAGATGGTCAGCCGCAGCAACTACAACTTGACCATTAACCCAAGATGCTTAAAGGCAACCAAATATGTACATATGTATGTATGTGTATAACTTAATATTACCACTTAAACACCTATGCCAATAATGTGTTTTGTGTATATGTATATATATATATCTATATGTATGTATGTATGTATGTAAATAACAACAAGTATTTCGGCTCAACTCCATTACAATTAGTGCCACATTAATTATGCAACACCTAGTGGTTGTTAAAATATTATATTACAAGAAGAGCAGCAGTGTAAAGTGAGGCAAACAAGGGATTTCCGAAAGCCACAAAACCATGTTTACAAATATATGTATGTATATATGTATGTTTATATATTATTTCATAAAACAAAAACTTATTACTTATTGCCGAGCATAGAAGCTTCTATAAATGTATATTTACTTGTATATTTTGTATCTTCAAGTTGGTAAGCTTAGTCTTAAGACAATAAGCGAAGACCATTTGACTTGAAAGTTAAGTTTAATGCAGTAAATTCACATATAAATAATTAAATATCACATAATTTACGGTAGTAGATGCATTCAACTTGATGCCCAGGTGTTGGGGTTAACCTGTTTGTATTGTATGTGCAGTCTATAATGTATGTATGTATGTGAGTTTACACTACTTCTGTTTATTTGTGTTTGCTCTAGATCTTGCTGTTTGCTGTTTATTTAATTTAGTTTATTTATCTCCTTGGGAAATTCTTGAGTGCAATTAGTCACTCACATTAATTTATGCTGTAACAGCAATAATGATCGGCAATAATGGTGGTGTATATATATCTGTAGTATATATGTATATATGTAATGCATCTTACAGAGGAAACATGATTTTGCTGACTAAAATAATTGACTAAAATCTACGACTCGCCAGGTACAACATCAATAAATAAATAATGTATATGATTATATAATTGGTGCTTTGTAACCGCTGTTGTTATTTTTGGCCGAGCTTCTGCTCCAATTTGTAGTATGATTCTTAATGTATTTACAACAAATGAAGGGATATACAGTGTATGTTAAGCCGACTCTAAACGGCCAATAGATTTTTATGAGGAGCTTTAATTTTCATTCGAGAAATATCATCGGAGGGCTCGACATTACCTACCGAGGGGCGACGGCAATTAGGAAAGTTTATTTTTCTATTATTTCAGATGTTTGTCGAACCGCGACTCCAAAGCCCGGCAGTCGTTTTTTCTTCCCGTCGTCTGTGCTAATTGGAGACACCAAGTCCCATACCTCCTTAAATCTACAGCGCCTCCACTACCTGCAGAAAAGCTATTGCACCAAAATGGGATCTTTTGAGCATTAACTCTGTAAACCCTTAGAACAGATGCAACTATCAGAGCAAGGCAACACCTGGAATTAAGTACTGTTAACGAAGAACCTATTCAAATTATCAGCTTCGGCATGGTTAGGCCAGATTTGAAACGGCCAAAGATGACCACGCGAAATAAGGTCACGAAGTCAGCCACTTGCTGAGGAGAGTGAATTGATAACCCCGTGTGCCATAGGACCATCGATAGCAGCCTCAAGCCGATTTCGGGGCTAAAAATAATCAAATAAGAAGGCTAAACGATAGGCCCATTTTACGGTATCGAAAATAAATGTAAAATTATGTATTTTGATATGTGTTTTTTTTTAAACATAAACCTTGGCATTATATGTATGTGTACAAAAAAATATTGTGTTAACAGTCTTCATTTCGATCAGTTCGAGGTAGTTTTCGATCACTTTTGGCACATATTGGACGGTATCTCAGCCATAATTTGACGAATATTGGTTTCTAAGTGTTCAAGAGTTAAAGGTTTATCTCCATAAACACGGTATATCGCGTAGCTCGAAAAAAAGAAGTCCAACGAATTAGATAGACAGCTGATTTCCCTCGCAATAAAGGCATATTCACTTGAGTAGCTTGGCAAGTGGCATCATCTTCTTCTAGCCATTGTCCCAAGTTGTACTCTTCAAATATAGTCCAAGGAAAGTCGATTATCATGCTACCATAACGCGTGAAATTGATAGTGACAGTCGCGGAGTTTTCGATTTCAAAGGCCTAATATCCAATCATATCTTCAGACCGAAGAGCGCGTCAGGTAGTAAATTTCTCGGAGCCCCAAATGTGATAATTTTGCGTCATATACGTATCCCCCAGTGAAAAATGTGCCTCTTCACTGGAAAAATATTTTGTTCGTTAAATTGCGTTCACTGCTTGTTATTAAAGCATGCAATCGACCTATGTGCTGCGTTGCATGTTGTATAAGCTGGACCTTAAATGGATGTAGTGGTACATCGGAGTGCAAAATAAGAAAGCACTAAATTCTATTTTATTAAAGTAATATTAGCTTTTCAAATAAATAATAAATTATCAGCTCTTGTGAATGTCGAAAAATAGACATTTTCGGGTCTTCGGCTACACTTTATCTTACAAAAGTGACATTTGTGGCGAAACGGAAGAACGATGATGCACAGGCCTTACAACATCTGTATCCGATTCAGTCCCATCAAATTTCTTTAAATCTTTACCAGTCGCTTGTGTGGTTGGACGACTAAGTGATAATTTCCTAACAAAGCACGAAACGTGGCGACGTTCGGAGCACCATTTTGGTATAAGGTTGTTAAGAGAACCATTTTCATAAATGCCTAACTTGTAGGTAACACAGAACATGTTTGGTTTGACAGTGAGGTTTGAGAGAAGTCAAAATATATTTGAATCCCTGAAATGAAAAACCCTAAATCTTGCCCAATTACCCGTCCATAATTGGACTTGAAGATTTTTCAAATATTTATCGAGTCAAAGCGTTACATAAATTTTAAAAATATCAACAAAATGTTATTTTTCATACAATAAAATAGTTGTGAAATAAATAACATTAAAGGTTATGTAATGTGACAAATTAATTGTTGCCGATTAAAAAAAAAAATTTTTTTTTGCACACATCAGGTAAACTTTCTTGTCATCAGAAATTTCTTTAACAAATGACGTTGAGAAAAAATGTTTATATAAAATATATTCAAGTGCATGCTTCCATGATCTAGTAGTAAAATTTCTTTGTATGTTTAGTTTTATGTACGAGTATATAAATAGGCATCGGTCTCACTTACGATAGAGTTTAATTGTGCCATCTGTATCTCCAAGAGAATTCTTCGCCACACAACGATACGAACCGAAATCCACTGTGTCAACATCATTTATGGTTAATCGCATCGTTATTTTGTAGCCAGTCTCAAAGGTTTCCGATGCAAAATGTTCACCTGCAGAACGAAATGGAAATATCAGAAATTAGTAAGATATGTTGGATATTCATTTAAGTAAATAAGTGGCTAAGTGATGTTTAGTTCATTAGTATGTGTAACGTATTGGCAAATATATATAATGACATTATATAGTTGTGAGTACTCACCAATCGTAGGTATTATTTAATCTATGCATGTACGTGAGGTCAAATCTACAAAATCGTACAAACATTCTTCCCTAAATAGTAAATGAAGTCATACATATGGATGTTTGTGTGTGTGTATGGTAATGGTAACTAAGTCGAAGCTATTTCATCCGAATCGCTTACAGGCTGGATTAAACTGTTTGCTGTCTTTATTGGATTATGGACATAGTATTTGTGACTAAACTCTTTAGGTTGGATTAGCATATTTTGCATAAACTGTCATACATACATATCTTGTGCACGTTTAAAGCTTGAAATATTTTCAGCTTATGCTTATTATAGCGAGAAGAGACCAATTGTACGTGGAATGGTAAGGTTATAAGTAAAAAATGAGAAAAAAGTGTTGTCTTTTTACCTTCCCAGACCACAAACATTTTATGGATTTATTTTTGGAATTAAATACTAAATTTTTGTTACCTGAAAATTGGTTGGAGGGGTGAAGTTTTCCGATTTCAATTATTTTTGATGTCAATATTTATTTGTATATACGTGTGTAGAGTACCAAATTTCACGCTTGTAGATGCATTTTGGACACATCTCCTACCCTAAACCTCATATCTAATAAAATCGGTTGTATGGGAGCTATATGTTATCTTTCTTCTTTCTTAAAGTCCGCCGTCAGCATAAAATCTAATGCGGTTAGAATTCCTAATTTTTTTAAATGAATGCCGCGAAAAATTTTACCATTTGTAACTTATGCCTTAAACACTATTTAAGAAATTAAAGGTAGACTTCAGATCTAAAAGCAATACTACCCTTTTTATCTAAAGGAATTGAACGTATTATGCATGCTCAAATAAATTCTTTCCTAAGTCAAAACCTGCAGGCGAATCGGTACCAACTTAGCTTTAAATCTAGCACGAGTTCCATAACGGCATTAATAAGGGTTACAGAAAATATCAGGCACAACAAAGACTAAAATCGAGTAACGGTTTTAACTATTTTGAATCATTCCAAAGATTTCGAAACTGTGAACCATGAACTGCTAGCTTAAAAACTTAGCAATTTGTTTAATTTTTCATTGACTTGCTTAATAAAATCATATTTAATTGATCTTTCAAACCCATTTAAACGAAATTAAGGATATTCCACAAGGATATATTCTTGGGCCTCTTTTTTTTTATTATATATGTTAATGACATGCGAAGTGTTTTAAAGTACTAAATATTGATTGAGATCACGTTGGCAAGTGGGCCAATGGTATTAGTTTACTTCTAAATTTCAGTAAATCGCAGTGCATTGCAAACTCGAATGCTACTGTGAAGTGAAACTAAATTATTGTTATAAAATTCGTGGATATAATCTTCAATATAATTTTGTCCTGGAATATCCACATTTATAATACAATACAATAGGTAAGGTTTATGGTATGCCTCGAGAATTGTGGACTATTCAGTATTTCACACCATTAAAAATCCGATTGTTTTTAGCAAAAACCTTTTTGTTGAAAACCTTAGTGTATCGATGTACAATATCCTCTACAATAACATAGCAATACATATATATATATATATATATATATTTAAAATCCTCGTGAGCACATAACTAATTTTACATTATAATTATTTTCCATTAAATTAAGTGCCAAATGCTACTTCACAAAGTCATTAGCTCTCAGGAGCCCAAATTTCTTTTGGAACGAGTTAAACTCATTAGATCTTCCCGATCATTTAACTTACTTAGCATTATAGTTTCCTGGTATCTGAGCGTCAGTTCTTTGCTTTGGCTGTTGGTCCTTGGAACGTTCTGCCACAATGAATCAAAGGCATTCGAAGTACGTTGTGCTTTAGAAACGAACTCCTACATCACTTTGCGTTACTTACTAATATTTCTTTTTTAAATCTCTAACCCTTAACGCTATTTTCATGTTTAGAGAGAAAGGGACAATTTTAATACTATAATTAGGATGTTAATATTATGTTTTATTTTAGGCTATTATAATTAAGTTCCATCACTGTATGGTTGTGTGTTTAAATAAGTGAAAAAATAAAATTAAAATAAATAATAATCGAATACAACCCACTAAAGCCGGACAAAGAGAAGACTTTCCAATTCAAACGAATGACGGAAAATATAATAACGAGATTGATATTGATTTTCAAATTTAAATTAAGAGATAAGACTATGACATTTCTACGATATGCTTAAATTAGCTTAATAATTTATTTATAAGTACTAAATGAAGAACTTAATATATTTTATACATTAAATTTTCTGCGGCTTAATTTTTTCTACAAAGCTTTAATTTAATAATTTTGCGTGACTCTTATTTACTAATTACATCGTATGTGGTATATATTTATTGGTTTCAAAAATACTGGAGCGTATTTGATAATTTGTCAAAATTAACCGATATTAATGAAAATGGAATTGTGAAAATCTACAGAAAACATGTTGATTCAAAAGTTGCCATGTTTCGTGCTTTCCTAGGAGATAATGGTGCAAAAATCGTCCAATTACTAAAGCAATTGGTAAAATTCTAAAGAAATATGAAGATACGGGATTAGTTATGTATAATGTTAGACCTGTCCATCATCACTTTGCCACTGTAAATGAAAATGTGGCCGAGGACACGAATGTGAATATTTCTTGCCGTACTCTAGAACCTGGACTTTCTAACGATCCACTTTGGCATATTTTGCTGTTAAATTTACACCTACACTTACATACAGTCAAGCACATACAAAAACTGAACCATTAAAAATGCCGTTCATGTGTCTAATAGGTGAAAGAACATTAAGTAGTGGCCATTGAGTTTTAGAACAAAATTTTTCATAGATTCAAGGGATACGTTAGTAAGCAAAAATTGCCACAGTCGGGAGTTTGGAGAATCATCAAATAATTGAAGAGAAGCCCTTACATCAACAAAACTGTACTGTCTGGTGCGCTTTTGGTCCGGAGGTTTGAAAGGACCTTAATACTTTCAAAGCGAAAACGATAAAACTGAGGCTACCAGCAATTGCAGAACATGACTTGGGCACATGCCACACAACACGAATACGGCTTTATTGCAAGGGAAAATTCACGGCCACATAATCCCTTGTCGCTATAGAATACGGAAACAATCTGAACAAACCGCTCAGGGTATTTGAACACAGTGGCACTTCTATGGCACACGGAATAACAAGCTAAGGAACACGGTGCATACCTTTGTTCAGAGCAATAAAGCATACTCGAGATGGCTGAATGAGATCACGTGTAACGTGACCAGACAGCTATGGACATAAGAGGATGCGAAAAAATCAAAACACTTTATCCTTTAAGACCGGTTCCTCTCAAACATAAAAATAATAATTGGCGTTTTGCAAGCGACGAGCTTCTCCACCAATCTGCGCTTTTGCGTATTGATGTTTTTCCAACAAATGGAGGGAGCTACAGTTTATACTAAGTCGCCTCCGAACGGCTAATGGTTTTTTTTAGGAGCCTTTATTTGATGTCAGAAATACACTCGGAGGGGTTGACATTCCCTACCAAGGAGCAGGTAGAAAAATTAACTTAATTTTTTTTTTTAATTAATTTTTTATTTTTTTTTTTTATTTTGGTCGTACCAGGTTTTGAACCCTGGCCTTCCGATGGTGTTTCACGGGAAAATAACGGAATACCATTTTAATAAATTCGCGAGGCAGTGAATGTTTTGGAGTTTCACATATAGTGCCAAGATTCTGTATTATAGGGCTACGTGATAGAGAATTCATAGGATTATACAATTAACTCAAGAAATTCTTCCGGGCTAACATTTTCGGTAGAATCAACATTATAGTATATGTAGTCTATTCAATACAAAGAGGATTACGTGGTAGCGGAATATGCGGGATTATACGTTGGAATCAATGCCTATCGTTCTGCCAAAAAAAATTTTTCAAGTGTTCAAATGACCACTTTGAAAGTATACATTATTTACTATTAATGTTGAATAAATAAGTCACCAACCGCAGAATGAGACCAATTACGAGGTTTCCGATAAGAAAAAGAATATCAAATCGGAATAATCAGTAAGACGCTACGCTTGGTCTCACATAAAGAAAATATACACCATGAATTGAAAACCTTCTTTTCGTCCGTTAAAATACTTTTATAATTCACTTGAAGAATTTTAATTTTATGCAGCAGCTATATACAGTAATTGAAATTTTGAAAGAAGAAAAAGCTTTCGTAGGGAAGATGAAAAGGCTCCCATACAAGCTACCAGGTCACATATACACCAAGAACAAAATAAAAAAATTATGAAAACCATACATACATTGTAAATTTGTGCTTCTTGCAATAGCAAGGTACACAAAAGCAACAAATTTAGTAAAGGTGATCATAAAATGGGAAGGTAGTAAAACAAAGAAGAGGTCGAACAAATCGATTGCATGTGAATGTGGTAACCTTATTTCACCTGTCATGTAAGACAAGAAATACAAGGCACCCAATAGTATACACGTATGTATAACGAGACGTGCATATGTAAATATGTATGTATGTGTACGAACAAAATGTGTGCAAATGAATGGGTAAACTAAGAAATCGACTACAAAGCCACAAACATGCATATGCATGTGTATGTGTGCATATTAAATTCTCCAAAGGTAAACAGCAGCCAGCTGGACTAACTGAGGTAAGCACTAAATATCCAGGTACATATCTACAGTATATGTATATACAAAGTTGTCTCAATATTTGTGCAATGAAATAAAAATGCCAAATTAGTGCATATCACTCCATCAAGGATTAGAGATGATTTAAAATGGACAAGGATTACTTAAGAGACGACAGTGCATCAAGAACAACATTGAACAACTGAAGGTAAACATAAATTACAGACTTTTG